GAGCTCCCAGGTGGCAGGAGCTGCTCAGCCCTGGGATGGGAGTTGGCATGCCTTCTCAGGAGGGACTGCTCTTGGCAAAGGTGTCTTGGCAGGTTCCTGCTCCTGGAGTACCTGGCTGCCTGAATTCTGAGCACTAAACTCTGGTTGGGAAGGTGGTTTCTAAACCCTTGGTCACAGGAGGAAGGATCTCTGCTAGTGCCAGGCTGAGAAGGGCACCCAGCCCTGAGACAGAGCCTAGGAAAGGGGAATGGCTGTTTCCCCCCAGCTCCTGGGATCCAGCCAGGGAATATCACAGCAAACCCAGCACCCATAGGGTGCCACTGTGAGCCAGGCAAGGGGTTGGGGAGGGCTTTCATTGACCTGGGGAGGGGAAGAAAGGCAAAAGGCTGCATGTGAATTCAGGAAAATACTCCTATTTTTCCTTTTTTTTTTTTATCTTGAAACCACCCTGGTGTTGACAATGCTTAATACCGGTTGCGTTGTGTCTTTGTGTTGCTGCTGCAGCGTGAACTCAGTGTCAGGTAAGAGCCCTCACTCTGTCCTGTCTGTGCAGCTGAGGCATTTCCAATGCCAGGCACTGCTGGGCCTCACCCTGATCCATGGCAGGACCAGCAGCTCGTGTAGCACATGGCTTTGTCACCCTCCACAGTGACAAAAGGCCACCTTTCCCTTGGCTTTGGGATGGCAGGGACAGGGTTGCTCCCCAGGGAGGTACTGCCAGCTTGAGCACAGACCCCTGAAGCTGGGACAGGGCCAGGTTTGTACCTGGGAATCCCCAGTCTCTGCAGGAGGGGAGCCTTTGCATCCTGAGGTTCTCTTTTATTTCTCTTCATCATCTAAAATGAACCATTTTCAGAGCTGCTCTCCATCTCTGATGATTAAAGATCATTAAACATCAATTACTGGATTAGTCAAAGTATCTTGAGAAAAGGGTGGCAAGTGACTTTTGAAATGGGCAGATAGTGATAGGATGAGGTGGAACAGTTTTAAACTAAAGGAGGAGAAATTTACATTGGGTAATAGGAAGAAATTCTTCCCTGTGAGGAGGTGAGGCCCTGGCACAGGTTGCCCAGAGACACCGTGGCTGTCCCATCCCTGAAGGTGCTCATGGCCAGGTTGGACAGGGCTTGGAGCAACCTGGGATAGTGGAAGGTGTCCCTGCCCATGGTAGAGGGCTGGAATAAGATGTCTTTAAGGTCTCTCCCAGCCCAAACCAGTCTGTGATCTTGAGGGTGGTGGGAGCCCTGGACCCCTCACTGCACGCAGGGATCTGCCTGGTGGCACCCAAAGGAGCAGAGCAGGGCACGGGTACCGACTTTCCCTCAGCTTCTGGGAGGATGCAGAACCATTTCTGGAGGACTGAGAAAATCCTGCTGCCTAAGTCCAGCAGGATTTCTAATTTCTTGATATCTGCAGGTGGATGCTGTAACATACATGTTGATTTACTTAAACTCTTCAGCATGGGGCCCCAGATGGCACTTCAGCTCTCTTGCTTCCATTAAGAAGCCACCAAGGCTTTCAGGTATTATTGTAGGGAGCAGAGGGAATGCATTACTGAAGATGGGTTTCCATTTAGATCTCCATCATGGCATGGAGATACTCAAGTAACCTTAAGATTTACACTTGGCATACAATAAGCTTTTAAAATAACTAGATGAACAGGGAAAAGGCTCTGCTTTACTTATTTCTGCCTCAGCCAGTCACTTCCTAGACTAGACAAGTGGATGTTTTATTTTATTTCCCTTTGCTTGTTTAACACCCTGGGGCCTGACATTTTCATACAGGCACGTAAGCTTCCCTATGTGTCTGGTGGGAAAGTGCTCTTTAGTATGAAGAGAAATCTGTTGCTTTAAAAATGGCAGGAATAACATTAGAGAAGAGACTAATATGTGTGCAAATATATATGTGTATATAGAGCTAGGAAATTTTATGTGTGTATAAATATCTTTCTCCTCCTTAATCAAAGGATTGCTCAGTACAGGTGATCTTCTTCTGCACTTAAAAATCGGGAATTTAATATATCCATAAAGTATTAGAAGTTTTATGATAGCAAGTTTGGAAAACTAGCTCTGACCTCTGGAAACACCTCCTTCATCACCACACTCACAGGTGGTTTTATGTTCTGTTTAAGGCTTCCATTTATGCCTATGACAAAAAAATCTGGAAAAAAAATCCTGCAGAAACCCAAATCTGTTGCCACTGCTGGAGCCCGAGTGCTTTACTGCTGCTGTGATTTCCCCCAGCCCCTCTGTCTCTCTGCAAGAGGAGTGGGGTGGATGAAGAGTCACATCGAGTGAGATGTGCCTGGCAAATATGGGCTTTTCATCACAAACAATTCCCCATCCTCTTGTCTGGAATGGCTGCATCTAAATGTCACGGTTCTTCTGAAGTCACGGTTTGGTGGTGGTGGGGACACCAGGAGGGCTTTGTGCTGGTAGGATAAAACCTGAATGCTCAGATCTAGCCCCAGTCTGGGGTGTCTCTGTGGTCCTTGTGCTCCAGGGCTGCCTTTCCTGGCCAAGTGACTGGCTGGGACAGGCAGGGAGTGCCTTTCCCCACTCAGATGGGTGAATTCTGGGTTTAAAACAAGTGGTGCCTTCCTTGGACATGCAAGGCTTGTTTTCATTCTGAAACCACGGGCTCCTGAGGGGCATGCTTGCCTTCCCAGTTATTCCCTCGGAGCACAGGTTGGACCTTAGCATTCTTAGGATATTTCTTGTCCAGCTTCCCCCATGTCTGACTGTGCTCATGCTGGAGATGTGGTTCCATACCAGCACTCCCAGGTGGGTATTCCTGCTGGAGCAGCCAGCCCATGCTGAGGCACAGTGCTCCCAGCCCAGCCTCTTCTCCATCCCTCCTGCCACGCTCTCAGCATCCAGCCCTGCTCCTGGAGCCAGCTCTCTTTCCAGCCAATTCCCCTCACCAATCAATATTCCCCACCCCCAAAGTCCCGATCAGCTTGGCGTGCCCTTTGCCAATTGTGTCTTTAAATATCAACCCGTGGCGCAGTTTAATAGCCCTTGTTTGAAATGTCAGCCCTGAAAGGCAGCCGTGTACGTGTTTGAAATGCCTTGACTGCATCATCTCCTTTGTAGCTGGATGTCTCTTGTCTGCTTCCTGCTCGATAGCATGTTCCACAAAGAGCCAAGGATGCTCCCTGAAGCCTTCCTGCGAGATGGTCACCCCTTTCTCTCTCTCTCTCTCTCTCTTCTTCTTCTTTCCTTTTTTTTTTCCTTCCTTTAAAGCCCTTGTTCTCAGGGGGAAAAAATAAGTTTCCAAAATAAGACATTTTCTTGACGTGCTCATGGCTGCCTGTCTGGATGTTCTGTCACAGTCCTGTCTTGGCAGGGAGGGACAGGAGGCATCACATTCCCTCCTTCCCTCCCAGGATGGGCAGGGGATGACAGGGTGGATGGCTGCTGGAAGGGCTGAGCTCTTCCCTCAGCCTGCAGGCCCTCTCCAGTCATGGTGAGCCCAGGGGAAGGAAAGTCTTCCCTGCAGGCGATGTTCTGTTCAGAGCCAGGTTTTTCTCCCATGTTTCCAGTGCTCTTGGCTTTCCATGTTCTCCAAGGCTTGAGCAGATCATCATCATGCAGGAGGGGAACACCCCTGTGAGTTTGCCTGGGAGCAGGACAGGTTGGATGAAGGATTTTTGGGTTGGACAAAGGTTTTGGTCCTGAGTGCCTGTGCTTGCTCTGAGATTGCATTGGAGCCCTGAGTGAGGGCTTGGCATGAGCCCTGGCAGTGTTGAGTACCAGGTAGGATGGGACTTGGAGAAACCTGGTCTAGCGGAAAGTCTCCCTGCCTGTGGCAGGCGGGGTGGAATGAGCTGATCTTTAAGCTTCCTTCTCATCCAAACCATTCTAGCATCCTATGTCCCTCTAAACTCCAAGAGCCACTGTTGCAGTGTGGCACTGCCTAGGATGGAGGTGGGACAGTGTCCCTGCTGTGGCTCCAGGACTGTGAGAGCAGACAGTTCTTTTCCTTCATGGAGCCAGGAGTGGAGCCAGTGCTGTGGAGAGCAGTGGTGACATGACTTGTTCACCAAGAGAGGAGTGTTGGGTCTGCACGGTGATGGCCCAGGCACCAGGCAGGTCCAAGAGCTGTTGATCAATTAGGGGATATTTTTCCCCCTCTGACTAATGACAGTGCTTTCTCCTCTGTTTCATGTCATGTTTGTCCCTCTCCTCTTAAATTCTCGTGTCTCCTGTCTTGTCTCCCCTGAACATCCCTTCCACCGGGTGACCAGAGGAAGCTGCGCTGGGATATGTGAGGAGACAAATGCTTATGGCAGTGTTTTGGTTGTGACACTAACAGGGAGTGGGCAAGGGCTGTGCAGGGTGAGCTGCCTCACTAACCTGGGAGGGGGATCTTGGGGCAGACAGCTCATGGGGTCCTGCTTTGCTGGGGTTGTATGGGCCAGACAGAGGCGGGGGCACTTGAAAGAGAAGCTTCATCCCAAAAATGGGACCTGTTTCCCCAGAAAGCACCAGGGAGAGACCCCCACAACATTGAGTGGCTTCCAGGCAGGGTGGTATCCAGACCTCTCTCACTGCACAGGTGTTGAAGGAAGGTGTGGAAAACTTGTGGACAGAATGCTGACACCATTTCTTGGGGGTCTTTTGGCAGCTCAGGATGCTGGGGAAGTGTTCCCACTGCTCATGGAGGTTGGAAAACCCTTGGCATCTGTGGCAGGGAGCAAGAGTCAGGTCACACTGTGACAGGAGAGGGGCTGCCCGTTCCACTGGCATAGTGGGATGCTGTGACACTACCTGGCAGTGATGGAGGGGAAAAGTGCCAGTGGCAAGTTCAGTCCTGTGCTCCTTGGTGAGCTGTGGTGATGGGAGATGACACAAACAGCTCCTCTGGTTTAGGCAACAGCAATTTATTGCCTGGGCAAACCCAGCCTAGGCCATGTGCAGGTGTGGCTCTGTGTTGGGGGCCCATCTCTGCCCCATAAAGCAGGTGAGCTGACAGCCCCCACGCCAGCACCGGCATCTGCCCAAGGCAGGGCTCATGCCCTCACCACCACCATCCTAGGGGCTGAGAGGGGTTTAGGCAGGGCTGTGCCCCCAGGATCTGTCCCAGGCCAGCTCTGGCAGGAGGAGGGAAGGGATGGCTGTGGGGGCAGAGCTGTAGGTGCTGCCAGCAGCACAGCCCTGGCACAGGAGCATCTCTGAGAGCTTCTAACCTGCGGGACAGTGTCTAACGGAGTGAGCTCGCTTCACTGACAGCAGGGCTGGGGCCTTGAGGGCTGCTGTTCCCAAACCAGCCATGGGGTCTGCACACAGCAGGCAAGCCCACGAGGGAACCACAACCCACCCATGCTCTCTGCATGGCTGCCAGCTGTCCTGGCTCTCTGGAGCATTCCCTGCATGGGGGCTCTTGGCTGCTACACAGGACTAGAGCTGGTAAAGCAAGAAGGAGCCCTTAAGTACCCACAAGCCTTGGGAATGTCTCGTTTGGTGTTGGCTCACCGAGACCAGGAGATGGCTGTGTGGATGGAGGCCTCAAGCTCTGCCCTCCTCCATGCCTATCCATCTTCTCTGTCTTCCTCTCTGCTTGCGTGCCTCTGTGTGCCATTAATCCAGGTTTCTGCTTGATTTGAAATCTTAATCATGCAGTGCTTTCATTTGCTCTCTTCTCTGCCTCCCCAGTTTCTGTGATTTTTTTTTCCGGATGCAGCCGCTGGCACGTGTGTGTTCTGACGTGTGGCTTTCCAACCCCAGCCCTCCTCCCAGACAAAGTTGCTTGTCCATCCTGCCCAGCCTTGTAGAAGCCAAATGTGACCTTCTTCTCATTTACTGCCACTCTCACAGGGAGAAGTGACTAATGGGGCTCCATTGTGTGCTTCCCCGTGAATGGTGTTCCCTTGATCCCAGAATAGCTCCCAGCCCTATTCGTTATGTGGAATGAGTCACACAGAGCCAGTCCTGTCCAGCCATAAAGTCCTGAAGCTGTTCCCAATTTGGAATGGGCCAAGTGGTCTCTAAAATAGTCACATTCCAGATATGTGCCAGCGCTTCCAGCCTGGCTGCCTGTCCCCAATTCCTGGTGACATTTGGCACCTGTAGGTCACAGACAACCGCAACAGCCCCTCCTGACCCCATGAGTCCAAGATCCATCAACAGATAAGACTCTGGAATAGGAGAAGGTTTTGATTTTATTTTCTACTGGAAACCAAGATGGGCCAGCCGCCTTCAGAGGAGCTGTGGCTGCCCCATCCCTGGAGGTGTTCAAGGCCAGGTTGGATAAGGCTTGGATTAACCTGGTCTAGTGGAAGGTGTCCCTGCCCATGGCACAGGGGTGGAACAAGAAGGTCTTTAAAGTCCTTTCCAACCCAAACCATTCTATGAACCTGGGTCACCTGCCCAGGAGGAAGGGCAGGTCCTTGGGCTGCAAGGTCTCCCTAACTCCAGTGACCCTGTTTTGTGGGCTGGCTGCTCACTCAGTTCAACTCAGTGGCTTCTGTGTCTGTTTGCAGTGTGAGATGACATCTGGGAGGATGGCTCTGGCTGTGTGCTGTGCTCCAGCCTTTGGGCAGCCTTCCCCAGACCTTCTGACGATGTGTTTGGTTTTCAGGGCTGCCCTGGCCTCTGCCCACCAGTGCCATCCCCTTCCTCAGACCCTCAGTGTGCTGAAGAGCACCCCTCAGGTGAGGGGCATGCACACCATCATCAGGTAAAGCCTCTGCTGTGGCTCCTGGCGTGGGATGGGGCTCAGCTGCTGCTGAGATGGGCTGGCCTGTCTTTGGGCTTCCCAATCTCCCTTTTGCCTGTCTGTATGGCTTGGAAACACAAGACAGGGCAGATGGTGGTGGCCTCTTCATAGAGGGAGCTGTACAGTTACTGCTCAGTGATTTTGCCAGCAATTTTTCTGCTTTTTACCTTGAAACAGGCACCACAGTTTCAGGCTCAGATGGTGCAAACAAGAGCCAGGAAGGGGCAGGGACAGCCAGACCTCTGCCAGCATCTCCAGGGGCACGTTTGGGTCCAGAGCTGACATTGACTTTCCTCCCCTCTAGAAACAAGGAGACCAGCAGAGACGAGTTCATTTTCTATTCCAAAAGGTTGATGCGGTTGCTGATTGAGCACGCGCTCTCCCTGCTCCCATTCCAGGTGGGTTCAAGGCTGTACATGCTGGATTTCCTCTCTGATTCCTAACCCTTAACTGCTGGGGAACCAGGACAGTCCTGGTGCTGCTCTTCTAGCCTTCCCCATGGACCAGTCCTTTCGACCCTCGGATTAAAAAGCACCAGGACTCCCCAAGGCTATGGAGCAATGCTGTGGCCCTGGGTGACAACTCTTTGTCCAGCCTTGGTGTCCGAGGGTCCAGTCCCCCACGACTGGCTGATTCTAGGGCTCCTGCGAGAGCCACATCAGAGCCCCTGGTAACTTTTGTCATGTGTTTTTTGTAGAGTTGCACAGTCCAGACCCCTCAGGGACACGACTACGAAGGGAGGACATACAGCGGGAAGCAAGTAAGTGGAAGCCAAAGCACTATAGAGACCTGCCCCGTGGGGGTGCACTGGAGCCCTGGCTAACATTAAGCTGGGTTTGGTGACTGCTCTCATGAGTATGACACCCTGTACCACCAGGAAAGGCGGGTTGGTGACCGAAGGTGCCATCAGCAATGTCACTGTGCCGCTCATGCCTTCTCACTGAGGGTGGTCTGGGAGTGGCACAGCCCTCTTGGAAGGGACGTGCTTTTGGGTTGCCTGTTAGGGTCCTCAGCTGCTGAGACCCAGTGTGGGGTGATGGCAGCTCCTACACTGTGCAACCCCCCTGGCTGTGTGCTGCAGATCACTGGGGTGTCCATCCTGCGAGCAGGAGAGACCATGGAGCCGGCACTGCGTGCAGTGTGCAAGGACGTGCGCATCGGCACCATCCTCATCCAGACCAACTGCAACACTGGCGAGCCAGAGGTAAAGCCCGGGGCTGCTGAGGACTTCTCCTGGTGTTAACCTCTGTGCAGGGTGGGGACATGGCTCAGGTGTTTCCTGCCAGCCCTTTGGCGACTCAGGAGTTATTCTGGGCAGGGGTTGAGTGCTTTGAAAGCTGCTCAAGTGGGTTTTGCCAGCAGGCTTGTGCACAGGGGCTGGTTTGCTGCTGAGTGTTTGTGCTGCCTCTGAGCGGACAGCCAGGGGCCCAGGGACAGAGAGGCAGGAGGGATCCTTCACTCCTCAAAGAGAAGGGCTCATTTGCCTGCAGCCTCTAAGCTGCTCTCTCTTTGCCCACCCAGCTCCACTACCTGCGGCTGCCGAAGGACATCAGCGAAGACCACGTCATCCTGATGGACTGCACGGTCTCCACGGGTGCTGCAGCCATGATGGCAGTGAGGGTGCTGCTGGTACGGATGGGTCAGCAGGGGCTTGGCTCTGGAGCAACCTGGGAAGCACCAGCCACAGCCATGCTGAGGGGATGTGCCTGGAACTGGCTCCTCTGCGGGAAGGAGTGTGTCAGAGCACACAGCACAGGCTGGGGTAACTCACCCTGAGCTATCCCTGTGCATTTCCTGTAGGATCATGATGTCCCAGAGGACAAGATCTTCCTGCTCTCCTTGCTCATGGCAGAGATGGGTGTCCACTCGGTTGCCTATGCGTTCCCCCGGGTGAAGATCATCACCACAGCTGTGGACAAGAAGGTGAATGACCTCTTTCGGATAATCCCCGGCATCGGTGAGTGCCTTGGTAGGAATGACTTGTGAGGGGATTTTTAGTGCTTCTTGTGGGGAGAGGACATGAAGCCCTGGTTGTCAGCAGCAGTTTAGGTCTGGCCTTACGTTATCCAGAGCCCCAGTGCCCCTCCTGGGTCCTGCTGCCAGGTGGGTGTCAGGATCACCATGCTGACTGAGGGCTGTGGGGCAGCCATCACCTTGTCAGCAGCAGGAGCCATTCCACATGCCATGAGCCTCCTCCAGCCTCAGGCAGAGAAATCAGGCTGGGACAGTTGGGGCAGCCCTGTGCCCACCTCCTTCCCTAAACTGCCACCTTCCACAAGTTCACCTAAAAAAAAGCTCACTGTGTTCCTCTGTCCTCACCTCTGCTGTGCCAGGAAACACTTTCCACCGGGTGCTAAACCAGCCTACAGGCTGCTCCAGTTCTGCTGCCACTCAGGTTTTCCTGCTGTTCAAGCTGTCAGATAAACCTGCTCTGGTCCCCTTGCCTGCTGTGATGAGGACAGGCAGAAGGATGAGTCCCAAAGCTCCCACAGTTCTGCACTCTGACTCTCTGTCTCCCCACAGGGAATTTTGGTGATCGGTACTTTGGGACGGATGCTCCTCCTGACTGGAGTGATGATGAGGATGCTCTTAGCACTTAGCTGGATGTGGAGGTGCCCCTGGCACCAGGCAGCTTCAGCACCGCACCTTAACCCCTCTGTCCAGTGCAGATTCCTCCTTCCTCTCACCAAGCATAGATATTTTTTTCAAATCTTCATCGGAGATCTAGGGCATATTTTTTCAGAGAAACATAAATCCTAGTTTGATTTTATGGACAGTTGCGTGTCCCAGCATAGAGCGGAGTTAATTTATTTTAATTTAAATATTTGCCTATATAACTTATTGGAGATATTTTATAAAGGACAATAATAAATTTTTTCTCTGGTTTTCTTGAATGGAGCCATTCTTTGACACTTCCTATGGGTGCCTAGAAGGATTAGTGACCCTTCAAGACTACAGTCCTGGGAGGGAAGATGCCATGAGCAGTGGTGGGAGGTCAAGAATACCACACCCTCAATCCAAATGAAGACTTTGTGCCAGAGTAGAGGCAGTTCCTCCTGCCTGAAGGGAAACCAAAGCCATTAGAGAGCGTCCAAAGGAGCTACACAAGGATGGTGAAGGATCTGGAGGGAAAACCATATAAGGAGCAGCTGAGGTCACTTGATTTGTTCAGTCTGGAGGAGACTGAGGGGAGAAACTGTTGGGGTCTGCAGCTTCCTCCTGAGGGAGGTGGAGGGGCAGGCACTGATCTCTGTGTATGACCAGAGATGACTGAGGGAGCAGCTGGAGCTGTGTCATGGGGTGCTTCAGGTTGGATATGAGGAAAAGGTTCTTCCCCCCAGAGGGTGGTTGGGCACTAAAACAAGCTCCCCAGGACCATGGTCACAGTCCCAAGGCTGCCAGAGCTCAAGGAACATTTGGACAACACTCTCAGGCACATGGTGGGACTCTTGGGGTGTCCTGTGCAGGGCCAGGAGCTGGACTCGATCCTTGTGGGTCTCTTCTAACTCAGGCAATTCTATGAGGTTCAGCTTGCATCATAGCATACCTCAGCTGAAGAAGCAGCAAGTGCGTGTTGTGAGTTCAGCAGCCAAAGTGAAACAGAGCTCACCCCAGCCTCAGCTCTTGCTGAATCAGAGCTGCTCGAGCTGTGGTGAGTTGTAGGTCCCGTATCTGACACAGGACACGGTGAACAGGGTGACCTGTCACAGAGCAGGGTGGCCTCAGTGGAAGGGGAGCTGGCCCCACATGAGGAGGGTTCAGCCAGAGGAGGCTATGATCTCCAGGGCTGAACATGGAGCATTTTCCTTTCCTGCAGGATTCAAAGTACCAACCCAACATCTTTGTGCAGGAGATAAACATCCCAAGAGGAGCAAGCCTCCCTCTTGTATGGGTATCCCTGGCCTGGAGCCAGCTCCTAAGGGGTCAGGCAAGGCAAGCAGGTGGTGCTGGCAGCGTGGGATTGGGAGGGGGATGCTCTGCCAAGCCCTCACCAAAATGGAGAGTCACCTGGTGATCACTCAGTGTGGGCTTGGGTGTGACAAGCCCAAAAACCGCCACTGCTCTGCAGCGCATTGTGCAAATTCTCAACTAGATTTAAAAGAAAACACACACCCGAGTTCCTGCCAGTACTTGGTGAAAGAAGGAGCCCTCCACTGAAAGCCAGGCTCAGAGCCAATGCTGACACTTGATTAGTGTCTGCTAAAAATAGGTGCCTGTGTGGGTGGAAGGAGAGCTGATGAGCACAAATATGGGAGGACAGGCAGGCATGGGGGGTTTAGGCTGGAGCAGAGGTCAGCAGCAGTGGGTCACCGGGTCCATGGAAGAGCATGACATGGACAGGGATGTCTTCACTAGACCAGGCTGCTCCAAGCCCCATCCAACCTGGCCTTGAATGCTTCTAGGGATGGGATATCCACGTCATTTACTCTGGAGGGCAAAACACCTCCTCTCCCCCAGCACTGTTGGTGTCTGCCCTCAAGGAACATGCGACAGGACAAGAGGAAACAATTGTGACAGGGGAGGTTTAGAATGGATATTAGGGAAAATTTCTTTACTGAAAGGATGCTCAGACATTGGAAAAGGCAGCCCAGGGCAGTGGTGGAGAGACACCATTTTTCCTTAGCAGATCCCTCCTTTGCCTCAGATCTGCACTTTCCCCAATAGAGTAACATTTTTACTCAGATCTGCTCTACCCAGTCTGTCTGAATTGAAGAAGGGTTTGGATAAGACTCTTGTGTACGTGGTGTGACCTTGTGTCCTGTGCAGGGCCAGGAATTGGACTCAATGATCCTGATGGGTCGCTTCAGCATATTCTGTGGGTCAATTCAGCATATTCTATGCTCCTGTGATTATTTTGCTTCAGCAAATCAGCCCTGTGCCCATGCCAGCAGCTCCCACTGGGCAGCTGCTCCTGCCACCGGCAAACATGGAGCCATCACCTTCCTCCCCACCCTGTGGGCTGCTCCTGCCACTGGAATATATGGAGCCATCCTCTCTCCTTCCACACTGCGCCTGCTTGAGGCAGCCATGGCTGCTTCATCCCCAGACGCTGTTTCTGGTGACTTCCGCCCCCGCTGCCGCCATTGCCCTCACGCGGCACCGCCATCTTGGATCCCTCACCCTCCCTGTCAGCCCGCCGCGTTCCTGTCCCTCACGCCGCCATTACCAGCGCTATCACACCAAATTTAGTTTCAGGGCTACGAGACAGAATTTGTTTTGTTTGTGACAAACTGCTGGTAGCAAACAGCACGTCGGAAACTGCGTGGGCGGCAGGCGGCTCCCTGCCTCCCTCCCCTCTGCCTGTGCCTCACTGCCCCCCCAGCCCGAGGCTCTGAGGCCATGCTGGCCATGGGCTGGGCTGGTGGAACACAATAAAAACCACTTTATTCTTACCAAGATAGCGATCTAAGGCTTTCTGAGCAGCCCCGGCCATGAGGCTTCATCACAGCAGAGTGGAGGATGCAGCAGGTCTCTACACCCACCAGGGTAACGCCATGTTTTCAAGCTGAAAAAAGGACAAAAGTGGTGGATTTTAAACATGGTTGAGCCCAGCACTGCACAGACCCTGCCTAGGACAGGCACAGCTCCTGCTCCTACTGCTGTTGACCAGCCCAGCCAGGAGCGTGTGGCACATGGTGACACTCCCTAATGCCTCCTCTGTAACATGGACACACTGGAAAAAAGGACTGAAAAAGAAAATAAACCACCTTTTTTTTTCTCATTGCAAACCACACTTCCAGGTGTCTCATTAAATCAGACAGAAAAAGTAATTGGTTTATTGTTATCACAAGATGCCTGTGTGCTCAGCTGCAGCCCCTCGCTATCGCTGGGGTTCCACCTCCCATGGCAGGACCCCTGGTTCTGGCAGTGCCTTCATCCTCCTGCCATCATCACTACCCCAAACGCCCTATGTGGGACCCCCGCTCTCAGCAGTGCCTGCAGCCCCCCACCATCTTTGAGGTGCCCTGGCAGGACCACCAGGACCGGCTGTGCTTCGCTTACTGCCTGGCATCCAGAGTGACCCAAACCCTCACTGATCTGACCCACGGCACAGCCTCTTGAGCACCATCCCCTCGTCACTAAAAATAGATCCGAGCGGTTAAAAAGAAAAGCCAACAGAAAAAAAAAGCCAACAGAAAAGAAGGCGAACAATGTCTGCTTGACCATCAAAGAGCAACCACAGTCATTTCGAGGCAGGAACACCTGAGACGAGGATTTTCGGGTTGTTTTCTCTTTCTGCAGCAGATGGGTTCTGTTTTCTCTGAAACAGATGAAATGTCTTCTTTCCTGAGGTAATGGCACGCAGAGCTCCAGCACTGGGGACTGCCCCTCTTGTGGGCTTCTTGGGGCTGGAAAGGAGCCAAGGGAACAATGGGTCAGAAGAGAAATTCGATTTCCTTTTGAACTCATTACTCGCTTGATTCCTATCTGTACAGAAAGACACAGACCTTGTGGGCTGAAACCTGTGTGCTGGCCCCAGTACTCATTTGAGAACTTGGCAATTCATTGCAGGAGTGGGCTGTGCTGCCACGGTCACCTCCCAGACCTGGGTCTGGGTGAGCAGTGTATCATAGCTCTTCAAGACCTGACATGTCCAGCCCATGGGCTTTGCAGGGCACTATCTTGGCCGATTGTTTATAGAGTATTGAATTTCCATGTATTATAAACAAGGAGATTTGCCAGGGCTGCTGTCAAACACTCTGCTCTGTTAGCAGACATTTTCAGAAGTCAGTACCGAAATGGTGGTGAAAAATGGAGCCTTTTGAAGCTGTTGAATGAGCAGTTCAACTTGTGTGCAGTGATCAGCCAATATATATGACAGGCCATGCATAAAGTTGTCCACCTGGTGCTACTGGAAACTTTTTCAGCAGCACCTTAAATCAAACTCATCTAAGCCATCTGCTGCTTAGAGTGATCCTTGGCCAAGGTCACTCACCACAGAGGCATTTAGAAATATCAAAGATATAAAAGACTTTATTTGACCTTAGCGCCTTTGAACAAGGACATGAGATGACAGGACAAGTGAGAATGGCCCCAAACTGACAGAGGGCAGGGTTAGATTGGACATTGGGAAGAAATTCTTCCTTGTCAGAGTGGCAAGGCCCTGGCACAGGGTGCCCAGAGGAGCTGCAGCTGCCCCATTCCTGGAAGTGTTCATGGCCAGGTTGGGCAGGGCTTGGAGCAACGTGGGATAGTGGAAGGTACCCTTGCCCACTGCAGTGAATTTTCAGTTTATATTTGTTGAATCATAGAATCCCACAAGGGGCTCATCTCGTTCCGGCCATGGGGTCTTTCCCCTCCAGACCAAGAGACACAGCTCCAGATGGGCCTGGATCCTTCAACAGGTTCCATATTTTCATGGCAGGCAGTTTTCCTCCTTTCCCTTTGCCCTCCTCTAGAGCCAAAATGGCACTTCCACATACACTGAGGACAAATGAAAGACTGAAATAAATTGCTCTCCTCCAGATCTTTCCTCTCTGGGTTATGCATCACTGGAGGATCTGCTGGCTGAGACAGAGTGAAGGGGGCTGCAGACAACCCCACAGCCTCTGGTCAGAGCAGGACAGAGCTTTGTCTTGTGTCTCCATTCAGTGAGTCTGCATTTGGGAAACATTTTTTTGGGGTGGGGGGTGGGAAGGAGGATCTTCTTGTTGAACTGAGGAGCAGTTCTCTCCTTGGGGAGAGAGAGGGGAGACCCAGAGCAGCTGGACCGAGACTGGAGAAGGGTCTGCAGTTCCCACAGGCAGGGCACCCCTTCTCACCTCTGCCTCCATCTAACAGCACTTTCTCATTTTCAAAAGAATTGAGAGAACCATTAAACGTGTTGGGGTTTCATTTTTTGCCTCACTTCTCTCTGCCACCCTGCCTGTCCAGCGTGTAATGGAAATTTTACCGCAGCCGCTCGATGAGCAAACAGGAAGCCAGCAGAGAGCGTGGCAGCTCGCTGTGGCCTGGCTCAGCTCAGCCGGGTGACAAGAAAGGCCATAAAAGACGGGGGTGGCAGGGGGAGGAGAGCAGGCCAGAGGGGCCAGGACTGGCAGCAGTGCAGGGGATCTGGTCCTGGGTTCACAGGTAAGGCAGGCACTGCCCTGCACCTTCTTTTTCCTCCTTCTGCAAATGATTCCTGAGTATTTTTGGAAGTATTTTCCACTGTTCTTCTTGGGGCCAATTGAGAGGATTCTGCTACTTTGTTCTCTGTACCGAACTTACTAAAACCTTGCTTGGGAAAACTAACTGGCTTTTTCCTCTTCTTTTTCATCTTTGCAAGCCCATTGTACAAACCTTAAAATCCCCCAAAGCTGCTCAGATTTCCAATGGAGGTATTGGAGAAGGTAAAGCTGGGCAGTGGTTCCACAATTCCCTTGCTCCTGTCAGAAAGATTTTTCTTCCTTTTCTCTGAATGAAATCCAGAGTCCCTCCATTGAATAGTTTTGGCTGTGTGTATAGTACTCAGAGCTTCATCTGGCTCAGTCCCCATCGCAGAAGTGGGAGGGTGTTTGGACCCAAACAAAGTAAAAAATCCAGAAAGAGGCTGAAAACAGATCACAGATTCCTTTCGCTGTGAATTTTGTGACAGCTTTCCAGGCTCGCTCACTTTTTGCATGAAGCTTGGGAAAACTCTTCCTTTCAATTTTGTACTAAGTTCATTCATTTTGATTGATAAGCTTTTAACATTCATTTTTCTTTCAACTCCCTGAAAGGAGGGTGTAGCCAGATGGGGCAGTCTCTTCTCCCAGGTAACAAGTGGCAGGATGAGAGGAAACAGTCTCAAACTGCACCTGGGAAGGGTTTATGTTGGATATTAGGGAAAACTTCTTCACCAAAAGAGTTGTCCAGCACTGGAACAGGCTGCACAGGGCAGTAGTGGGGTCACCATCCCTGAAGGGATTTAAAAGAAGTGTGGATGTGGCACTTGGGGACATGGTTAATGATGGGTTTGGCCATGCTGAGGGGACGGTTGGGCTTGGTGATCTGAGGGCTTTTCCAACCCAAATGGTTCTGTGATTCCTTGATTCCCTGGGAGCAGGCAGGGAAGTGTGAGGAGGTTTGGGTGAGTCCCACAGACAACTCCACCTTAAAAACAGAGCCAAGGGGTTGCTTCTTTGTTATCTCCTCCAAATTCCTCAGAGGTTGGGAGATCTGGGCAAGTACACGGTGTGAGACACAAGGCACATGGCAGGGGGGTTGGCAGCTGCCCTAGCGAGGGGCACCTCGAGGACTGTCTAACCTGAGAATGGTGAAACATCAGGGTCAATCTCAGGTTCGTCAGCCCATGAGATGCCTTCTCCAGAGCGGGACCGGCAGCACCAGCCCCCACCAGCCTCATGGCTGCCGCCTCCACCCAGCACATGGAGAAGCCCAGCAGGGAGCAGGGGGCCACCAGAGCTTCGTCTGCATCTTGGCACGGCTTTGTGAGGATGGGGAAGGACCAAAGTGGGTGTCGGCCCCCAAGGAACAAAGGGAGGAAAATGCCTAGCAAATCCCCCCTGTTCCTCAAGAGGAGATGCTGGAAGCTCGGCCATGCGTTAGTGCTGAAGTTGCCACGGTCAGGATGCAGCAGCTGTCGCGTGTGAGCCGCTGCTCATGTGACAGGAGGCTCCGAGTGTCAAAAGCACCTAATTAGGAACCTCTCCGACTCCCATCCGGATCTGTGCCTCTGTGTGCAGTGAGCGCAGCCCAGGGGTGAGTTTGGCGTCCCTGAAAGCATCATTAACACATCGCTCCTCACATTCCTGACTAGAGGAGGAGAGAGTGACAGCCCTAAAAGTGACGATAATGAATCCCCAGGCAGTGCACAGGGCCTGTCAGGACTGGATGTGTCAGTAATTTATGAAGGGAGCAGGAAAAAAAAGGGTATTTTTAATTTTTCAAGTTGAACTTCCTAAATAAAACACAAGTCCAAGGTACACTTGTCGGAATCACTGTCTTTCCTACAATTAAATGACTAATCCTAACGATAAATGGTCTAAAACATTACCAGCCACAGTGCAGGCCATGGAGGCAAGGGATGAACTGAGCTGCCTCTCTCTGTGTCTGCTCCCGGCCATGCCAGTGGCAGTGCAGGAGCAGAAATCTCCGCCCAGAGCCACGGGCCCACTCCTTTGAAACAAGGTGGCCCCCAAAGCCCCCTGAGTGATGCTCTGGGCACCAACCTCTCCTGCTGCATCGCTGTTTTCATCTTCCCATGGGATTTTGGGGTCTCATTTGCCCTCAGCCCCCAGCGGTGTGGGGATGCCCTGGGAGCTGCAGGCAGCGCTCCTGGCAGTGCAGCAGGGCCAGGCTCAGCACTGGTATCGGGGTAGGGGACAGCACGGGGTCAGGCACGACGATAGGGAGAAAAGCAGGCTCAGGTGAAGCACTGGAAATGACAGACGATCTCGATGATTCAGTGAAGGACTTTAAAAGCTCACAAAGCCAGCAGGAGGCAGCTGCTCCCCCTTCCTGCCCACCCAGCGCTTGCTCTGCTGCTGCTGGGAGTTATTCTGCATCTAGGGGGGGGTTAGGGCCCCCCCTACTTGCCACCCCCACAGACCTCTTGAGCCCTTTCCAGTGACCCTCAGAACTCTGCGGAGCCCTTGTTTTTCATGCGGTTCTTGCCATGGAGGAGGATGGGAAGGATTCTTGCCATTCACCCGAGTTCTACCTAACGCGGGCTGGTTTGCTTGTTCCCCTTCTCTTAAGTTTGTTCCTCAGGAGGGAATTTTAATTTTAGAGACAGCAGTGCTTCTGCAAGGTGAAGGAATTGCTGAGCTCTGAGGGCCAGGCAAGGGAGGCTCCAGCAGGGAGGCAGAGAAAGGCAAATGGATCCCTGGCATGGGTCCCTTGGATCCCGGGATGCACCCCCAGGTGTGTGTCTGTGCCAGGATCAGGCCGGGAGAAGAACATGCCTTTGTGCTGTCAAAGGGGGAAAACTGTGCTCCAAAAGCGCAGTTTGCTTCTGCGGTGAAGTTTTCATCTGTGTGATAGCAGGAGAGGGATCGCTGGGAGGAGCAGGCAAGCAGCAGGGGCTGCCTTCACCAAACAACTGCCGAAGGAGCTATGGGGAAAAGTTTCCCTGCGACGTGAAACGCGGCAGAGCCCAGGGCCGAGCCCGCACACACGTGTGCCCCAGGTGTGCCCCGGTGTGCCCCTCTGCCATGGGCACACCAGGCCCCGAGAGAACCGGGGGGCTCCATGGGGGTGCCCAGGGCCCAGGTGCCAGGAAACACCACCCAGAGCAATGTGAGAGTGTGGGGCTTGGCTGGTGGGTCCCGCTGCACCACCAGGCACCCCGTTACACGCAGAAGGTCTGTCGTGCACACTCATGAACTCACACACACCACACACCCCTCACACCCCCACAGCTCCCCCTCACCTCTCGAACCTCCCAAACCCTGAACACACACAGAAATGCCCCTCAAAACATTTGTGCCCCTTGCATACACAACCCTGCACACCCCACACACCCCCACGGCCCCCAAAACACTTCCCCCCTCACTCCACGTACCCCCCGGACTCACATGTCCCCCTCCCAGACTGTCCCCCCCTCCACGTAGCCCCGTGTTCCCTCAGACTCCCACCCCCGTCCCCCCGGCTCTCCCCCCGTTCAGCACCGCGGACAGATCCCGGCCCCGCTCCCATCACGTGGCTCCCACCGCCCCTATATACACGGGGCGCGGGGCGCGGAGCGGCGCGTCCTGCGGGAGGAGCGGAGCGGAGAGCAGCGCCGGAGAGCGGTGAGACACGCACGGGCACTGGGACGGGCACCGCCACCCCCGGGGCCCCAGCACAAGGAGGGGGATCTGGGGGATCAGGAGATGGGAGGCGAGGGTCCTATGCCGGGGTCGGGGAGGTGTCCCCTCGCAGGGGGCCCCAGGTCCTGGAGGGTCCCGCCCCAGCTGCCGAGGGTGTCTCATGCCCGGGGAGGAGTCCCACGTCGGGAAAAGGGGTGTCGCGTCCCCGGGTGGGAGATCCCAGCCCGCGGGAGGTCCCGTCCTCAGAAGGGTCCTGTCCCAGGGACCCGGGGTGGGATTCCCATCGGCGGGGGTGGAGATCCCGTCCAGGGGGGCTTCATTCCCAGGGAATTTCATCCTTGGGGAAGGGATCCCCAAGGGGGTGAAGCCCCTCGAGTGACCCCTGACCGCAGCGGGGGGGATGTGGGGGTCCGGGGCGGGGGGGGGGCTGCTCTTGCAGGCTTCTGGCCCCGGAGTGGCTGCGATGCGGGTCAGGATGATTTCAGCTGCCTCCGTCCTCGTCCTGCTCTTCCTGCCCTCGGAGACCTGCTCGCCCCTGCAGTGGCCCCGGGGACCGTCTCGCAGGCTGACCCTGGCCCCTCAACTCACCTGGGAGCCCTGGATGGGAGCCCCGAGATCTCCGGTCCCTGGCACCGATCCCCTGCTTCAAAGACTGTGCCAGTTCCACGGGGCAGAGCCCATCCCGGCCCCCCGAGCCCGGCGGGGGCTGCAAACCGGCAAGAGGCGAGATGGAAAACCCAATTCGTTGGATCTCACCTTCCACCTCCTGCGCGAGTTCCTGGAAATGTCCCGGGAGGAGAGACTTGCCCAGAAGGCGCTCAGCAATAAACTCTTACTGCAGAGTATAGGGAAATGAGACAGGGTCCTTGGAGGTGGGGGAATGAAGGAGACCGACCCCGTAACAAGACACCACGGCAGAGCGGAGAACCGGGGGGATGCTGTGGGCTGCAGCCGTGCCCAGGGAGTCCCCACCTTGCCTGGCAGTGTTCCTGTCACTGCGAACCGCGTGTCACTGTTGTGCATTAAAGTCACAGTCGTACCTGCCCTGCTGCTGTGCTCTTATGCTTCCCTGCTGTCATAAATCTGTGGACCCGAACCAGGTTGCCCCAAAAACACCAGAGCAATCCCAGATGTTTCCTTGGGTGAAAAACATCTGCATAAAGAGCTCTGAATGATGCAGGTAGTGCCACCCCGGCTGGAAGCTGCACCCTGAGACCCAACCAGGGCTTCTCCAGTATCCCTGAGAATGGCTCCAAAGGCTGCTGCTGCCCGACTTTGCAGCAAGCCTGCAGCTTTTTGTGTCACAGCTGGGGATTTGGGACAAGGTTTAGTGACACCTGAGCTTGGCGGTTCCTGGAGGAAGATGAGCACCTGTGTAAAAGATTGGCAGCAAGGGCATTGCAGCCCCCCCAGGGGCCCCTCCCTCCCCAAGCTGTCCTCTCTGGGGCATGGAGCCTTCCTCACCTCAGTCTCCCTCCTGCAATCACAGCCCCGAGCTTGGAGCAGCCATTCCCACCCCAAGCTGTGCAGAGTCCACTGCCAGGCTTCATGAGGCTGAACTGGGTTTGGGAAGGCTCCCAGGCACTATCGACAGTCGTGGTGGAAGGAGGAAAATTGTCCCAGGGCCCTGTACTCTGCAGAGCAGGGAGGAGTCAACATCCTTCCCCCAGGCCAGCTCGGCCATTTCAGCCTTGAGTGATTGACTGGGGTGGGCACAGGGTTGGACAGGACCTCTGGCACCCTGGAGACATCAGAGAGGGGACAGTGAGGGAGCAGAGACTTGTGGGGTTGGGACAGAAATCACAGTAAAGATCAGACGGTGCCAAGACAGGAGTGCAGGAAAGTGGTGAGGAGCAGGTGCCCGAGTTGAGCAGCTTGGTCTCAGCTTTGAACCAGTCTGGCCTGACCTTGCACCCACTCCTGCCACTCCAGAGGGGCTGCTTGGCCCCAACAGTTTTTGGTGTTGCCAGGGCGAACATGGGCCATGGGCAGGGACACCTCCCTCTAGACCAGGGTGCTCAAAACGCTGTCCAACCTGACAACCTCAAGTTAAAACACAATTTTGTGCTGACCTCCATCAAATGCAGAACTCACCTTTCCAAAACGAACAATCCCAGAGTCAGAACAGCTGCTGGTGGCACCTGCAGCAGGGGCAGCCCTACAGTCACCACGGGCCCGGGGGCAGGACAGATTTGTGCTGCCTTGGCTTGGATCAGTCTTGTAGCACCTTCAGCACATCTTCCCCTCATCTTCGTTCTCTCCACCAGCAACACCAGGAGCAAATCCACTCTCAATAACCTGAGTTTCTCCAGAAAAGGGTATTTTACTGCAGAGACAGACGCTGTTGCCTCCTTCAGCCCTACATAAAATTTCCAACCCTGCAACTGTAACCTACATTTACACCCCAAATACCTGCCAGAGCCCAGCATCACATAAAGATCTTTGGACCTTAAGGTTCAAAACCAACCCAGACTCCATGGTGGGTGCAGGAGGGCAGTGGCTCAAGTTCCTACCCCAGGGACCCTGCACCCAGTGCCTATCCCAGGGATGGGTGACCTCTCCCACTTCCCAGCCAGCCCCACCTGTCCCACAGCCCCTCCCTCTCGTGCTGAGTTCCAGCGTGCAAATAAAGAGAGAAAAATCCGATGGGCATTTCTGCATTGAAAACATTTATTTTACAACAGTGGTTTCCGATAACTTAGCAATCTTTATTTTAGTTTATATTCGGACATACAAGACACAAATTACCATGCTAAAACAGAAAATAATTCCTTCTGCCGTCGCTGCGGGTATGTACAGGAGCTCAGTAGTATCGAGTGTTACAATCCACGAAGTTCAGACAGCCACGTCTACTTACAGACAACTCAAAGTATGGTCCTTTAGTAACATAACAAAATAGATATATGTCTATATTATAATTGCTTCTCAGATGCATTTATACTTCAGTTGTGGTGGGTTTGGTTTGGGGTTTTTTTACTATTTTTTTCTTTTTTAAAGATGGGCTCCCCTTATCCCCCACCCCAGCCCGAGTTGAAGTGCAGTGCAAATGGCGCGTCTCTCCCGGCATCCTCAGCTCCCTCTGGCTCCATAAAGGAGCCAGGAAACCAAACCCCACAAGGAATTACACAGTTCAGGGCCTTGCTCACATGCAAAATGAACATAAACCGCCTGGGATGTCAGCAGTGACACCAACCAACCCATCCACACCCCACCCCAGCAAGGCAGGCCACGGTGAGATGAGAGGGAGAAAGGAACGACAGCAATCAGCTCAGCATCCAGCAAGCAAACAGCGTATTGGCAAACTTGGAGTTCATCAACCACGATGGTCACAAACAGAACTTTACCAGTGTCAGCAGTAAAAATCTCCCCAGTATCCCTCATTTCTGCTGTGAAGCAGGAACCCCTGGTGTGCTGCATGGCAGGAACAGCCCCTGACAGGAGCAGCCTGAGGAGGAGGAGGAGGGCAGTGGTGACTCTGTCCAGTATGGCATGGTGGGACTCACATGTGCATTAGCCACAACTGTTGTGCCTTCACGTGGATCACTGCCAGTTTCAGGTGTAGGAATTTCAGTAACTCCAAGTCCTTATGGAACCAACCTGCAAGAGGAGGGGCAGCGCCTGGCCGTGCAAACACCACACTGCCCATGTGGGAACTCCCCGAGCAGGGTGTGTGGAGCAGGAGCTGCTTCTCTCACTCCATTTATTTATACAACAGGCTCCTTCACCACATCTTCACCAGTCCCTCAACCCCACAGGTAGGGTTTGGGTTTTCCTGCAGCTGAGAGCAAAGAAGCACAATTGTGGCCACACAAAACTCACACCTTCCCCCTGTTTGGCTGAGTTCAGAGCAATACTTGGAGCCAAATATCACATTTTTACCACCAAAGAAAAACCCAAGGTGCACACCTGTTGTATAAATATATACATATGTGCATATATACATACATACACACACGTGATGCTGCAGCCCACGCCCTCAGCACGGGGTGGACCTTGCTCTGTGAGCTCACCCAGCCCTGCTCTGGGGAGTCCAACGTGGTGAAAACCAGGGAGAAAACCCAAATCCATGTGTTCTATCACAGTTTCAGTGATGAGCACATTAACCACATCTAAACACCCCATGTGCCAGCTGCACAAGTTCCAGTCACTCCAGAGCTGCCCCTCTGCCAGGTCTCCCTCATCTCCTCCTAAGGAAAGCTGGAACAGGCAGAGCCCTGTTCCAGCCAGAGGAGCTGGGTACAAGGGGCAGCTCATGGAATTCAAGTAGATTGTTAAATTTTTGGAATGGTTTGATAAGCAATTGCTCACAGACTGCAAGAGAACACCCACAGGGCTGGGAGAGGGAGCAGAGAAGACAACGGCACTCGGGAATGAACAGCCAGTTTATATAAGAGCTTCCTCTATACATATACATACATATATATATATATAACCACCAGAAATTCCCAGCATCTATCCTTTGAACATCAAAACGAACTGCGCACGTAACATTGGCATAATGAAAGTTCGTCTTCCAGACTTCTGGCATTTGGCTTGTGCAAACATCAGACAGCCAGATTCCCTCCCGTGGCTTCTCCTTGTAAAGGAAGTGTCTTCTTGGAAGAACACAGGAATTGCAGTCTTGCTGAGTCCCAGGCAGTCCCAGTAAGCCTCCAAAGGCAACTCATGGAGGGGACCATGGATCTTGCGGGAGCTGAACACTGACAAATTTCCTGCCACCTGGTGAGCTACTGGCTACGATTCTTTTGAGAGATTTTAAGCAGCTGTTGGTGCAATGGTACAAACTAGATGATCTCCACTAGAATACAGAGAAGCAGCACCGGATGCTGAAGCATGTGAAGTTTATATCGACCTGACACTATAAACTATAACTGAGAGGTTACGGTTCAGTGCTCCACGATTAATGCATTTCAACACCATTCGGAATCACTGACACAAGGTGGGGGCTGCAAACTGCCCTGACCACCCTGCCAGAGTGACCTGTTAAACATGATGCCAAGACACAGGTGCACTAGGTACAAAAAACCTGCAGCATAAATTTCCTAAATTATCCAGAATTGGCAAAAAGATCAAAGGGCACCAGAGGAAGGTAAAGCAGTTGAGAGAAGCAGGTGTCTCTCTCAAGGAGCGTGCATGGTACAAATGCTCTGGAACAGCCCCTCAGAGTGCACTGGTGTCCCCCCACACCACTAAACTGCCTCACAGATGGGACAGGAATAGTTTTTCTGTCAGGCTCCTACCCTGGTTACACCTGTGTGAGGTGTTTACAGGCTGACAGGAAGGGTTTGGAGAGCTGCACTCCCCCGACCGCAGCCCTGCTGCAGGACTGGGTGTTTCTGTGCCATGCCCAAGCCCTACTCCTCAGTTCTGCCTCTCCAAACCTCCAAGAGGATCCCACTTTAAGAACACTAGGAGTGCTAATATCTAAAGCAGTTTTTAAAAGATTACAAATCTAAAAAGAAGACTAAAAAGGGAACATGGCTGTACAACGTCACTGCATGAGACCAGCAAAGACTGACACCCTATAGGATGCCACTGAGGTCTTACATAAATTTATATACAGATAAATATTTAAGAATTCCCTACAAAAATCACTAACAAAATGAGACTGGCATTGAAGGGGTGCAATGCCACTTCAGTACAGTGCGTTTAGGATGTTCCCATCCCTAGGGAGGATGGGCAGGACAAATCCAGCACCTCCTTTTCCAGCAGCTCCATGTGCCAGGAGGGACAGCTGGCACCTGAGTGCTCTCAGCAGCAGCTTTCCCTCCTCACCTAAGCTAGGAATAACTCTCCATGCAACACAGGGATAAATCAGTATCCTGAACACCAAACTCTCCAGATGGGATTCATCCCAATGGAGCTACAAGTGCTAAGGAAATCGGTGCTGGAGAGGTTGGAGGAGCTGGATGGAGGTGGCCAAACGACTGGAATGGAGGACTCAGGCAACTCTTACAAATGATACAACTTCAAAGAAACAAATAAATAAATAAAATCCAAGCTCAAGTTTTAATTCTGGAAACACACCGGACAGAGATGGACAGTGCTCAGGTCTGATTCTGGAGGGAAACATTCTGCACCAAGCCAGGTCAGGCTGCAGCACTGGGATGCTGCAGCTCCCCTTGCCCAAGCTCAGAATTCCCATCTGAGCTTCTCCACCAGATTTTAAACCATTATTACCAATAGAACTTTGCATTTACTAGGATTCTACTTGGCCATTATGAAGTGCAACTCATGTTAGAGCCTGGGGTACTCTTGTACCTTCCCTCCAGGAGGGGAGAAGTGGGCATTAATGTACTTATGTGCCATGACACGGTTTTGGCTTCAAAGAAGGAATGTTTAAATCACTTCCTTACATAGTTCAAGAAGAACTCCACTAATACACAACGATCCTAAACTCAGAGATTAAGCAGTAACATGGGCAAACTTGAAACAGCTTCAAAAAACATGAATATTCCTCTAGAATTACGTTTTCCCATCATTCCCTGTAACTGAGATCTCGGAAAGGTTTCCCTTGGAGCATCTAACATCACTCTGGCACATAACAGACTAATTTCCTGTTCATACACCACCCACAGACAGAATCAATAGGAAAGCAGTCTCCCTCCAAACTCATCCCTTGCTAAGCAAAGAACTAAAACTGCAAACTTATCCTGGATGTCATCTTTCCCCACAGGTAACTGTTCTGCCTCTGGTCCTCATGTGCTGCCCACACTTCAGTTCCCTTGTCAGAAGCCTGCAGAGTGACTCCAGGTGTGTCACGTACTTCCCTGGAGCCACAACGTCCCACCAGCCTCTCTACTTCTGTGGAAACAGCCCAGAGAGGTTAAGAAATAAGAGTGTTATTCCAAATGAACAGTGACAACTAGCCCCCAGCACTGGGGACAAAGCAGCTCTGCAGCAGAGCAAGACCCTACAACCATCTCTGTGTTATCCACTGAGATGAACACAGGGACAGGGAATGGAACAGCTCCCAGGGAACAGCCCTTTCCTCACCCACTGACTTGTACCAATCAGCCATGCTCATTTACAAAGCCAAAAAACCACTTTTTTTTTTTTGAGCCAAGAACACAATTTGCAGATACAGAGAATTTTAACCAGTGAATGTGGAGAAGACAAAGCCTGCATATGCCCCACCATATTCCAGAGTGCAATTCTACACCAAGAACAGGCTTCTGGTAACATCTTCGGGGACAGACAAAATGATATTTGGTTTAAGCCTAAAAATGGCTTTTTGTTCCAAGGGGTCAAAGAAAGACATTAACTAAATAAGGACCTCAAGTCAAATCATACACAAATGTCCTCAAGGCCATCCAAGTCAGGAAAAGTTAAAAGTATCTTGCACTAAACCTCCACATTTCATGTCTGTAAGGACTATGGGCAAAGAAGAAATGACTTAAGGAGTGTGCTGCTGAAACTGAGCCATTAATTAAAAGTAACATTTTTGGGGGGAATTTTGGGGGCTGGATGTGGTACTAAAATCATGCTGATCTGCAAGCTCCCATGCAGGCAAATATGTGCTTGTACCAACAGCCACAGCAAAGTCTGGGTGTGCAAACATTCCTCACTGAGCACTGAGACCATGGGGAGAACACGTTCTCCTACCCAGCACGTTTAACATGGTTCCATGGCAGATTTCATGTGCTCCATCCTTGTTGCTCATGCAAAGACAGCAGGAAAATATATTCAGAATAGTTCTCTGGGTCTCTGCCCTTTCCTGGTGGTCTTTGTGCAGACCAGTGGATCTTCACCCTGCTCCAAAGCACCACATGGAGCTGGTGAGGGAGCAGCAGACATGGGAGGAAGGTGCCAACAGCCCCTCTACAGGAAGAGGGGAAAAACAGATCAGGGAGATGGGGGTACAAAGGACAGTAGAGGCATTGTGATATAAAACCATAATGTTCAAAATTAACGAGGCTGTAATTACCCACTGAAAGTGCCAAGTGTGGGTTCTCTGGAGCTCTTCCAGATCTGACTCCGCAGCACCTAAAGCAGGTCTACTGACAACAAAATACACCAGCAATTCAGCAGCTGCCTAAAATGCCTTTGTAACAGTTAAACCTCAGTAAACCACAGTTTCTAGAACAGAATTCCAACTTGATTTGGTTTCAAAACAGTACAGGAAACTTTTCAGGGTTTCCACATACTTGTTCTGAGGAAAAAGAGAAACACTGGTGTAAACAAATCTAAATGCAAGACAATGTGCAAATTATACAATATAAACACAAAGAAAGGTGGTTTGTTCTTAAAAATCCATTTAAGTATGCCACAAAGATGTTAACGAAAAAATTAAAGGGTTAGTGTATTATAAAAGCTTTTAAAAAAGACATGTAATACCCCCTTTGCCTATTAAAGTTTCAAATTATTAGAACAAATTTTTAAACACCAGTTGTTTTTAAACATCTCTGCTGTTGCCTACTTTCTGCATTTTACTCATTTGCTCAGTGAGAGCCAGTTAACCAGTTTCACTTTAAGATTCTCATGCATTCAGAAACAAAGCTGCACTATTTGGTCTTCAGCATTACAAAAAAAATAACTGAACTCAAATCAATAGAATTGTGCTTGGAGTTGAAATCCCACTGCCACCACCACAGGAGCCCATTCCGAGTTGGTTTTGGTTCCATTGTCACTGGAGATCGCCTCATACACAACGAGCTGTTCAATTTACTGTTCAAAGATTGGCAACTCTCCCTTTTTATTTTTCAAGGTAGATTTATTTAAGCTGAAAACCAGCATTTGAGAGGACTCCAGCTCTGCAGGACTGGCAATTTTTGGTTCTTGGCTTTGTAAACTTGCTTAGATAATAACGCAGGAATAGAAGGAGGAATGAAAGAATTGGTTTGTTGCACTCAAATGAAAATCCTCAACTTCTAAAGGTCTTCGACAGCTCAGCTGTACAGAAGAACAGTGGCTTCTGTGACACTTTCTAAATCTCTTTTTTAATACTGCTGCTTAAAATGCAGAATGTCTCCATCGCACTGATATTGTGACAACTCAATACGTTACACCACAGACATTTAACATAACTCCATACATGCTATTAAAAAAAAAAAAAACTAAACAAAACAGGAGAAAAAAATAAAAGAAACAAATAAGACCGTAGCTAAACTGCTTTAAATACTGCATGCTACAGCACTTCACGTATCGTCCAGATACGACACTGAAAGGTGACAAAAGGCTGAAGGGATTACAAAATATTTCCGGCAGGTTGGAAAGCTGCCTTCTTACTGTGGCAGAATTATTCCCCCTCCCCGTTCTCTACTTCTAATGTTCATGATTCTAGTGTTGAGTTGGCCATGTATTTTTTTTTTTTTATCCATTCTAATGACAGTGTTTCCTTAACTTAATTAAATCCATCAGTGTGGTAGCTGGGGTGAGAGTCAGCTGTGAGCTGGGTTGTCTCTGTGGCTGATGCTGGCTGTATCACAATAGGTGCGTCTGAGGCCTCTGAAAAGTGAAGACAAAAGGCTTAGCACACCAAGGAACAAACACAGCACTGTATGTTTTGGTAAGCACAAGTCACATCTCCCTACAACCCTCTGATAAACACCATTTTACACTCCTTTAGAAGCATGGTATTAATTCCCTGATTTTCAGTGTGCACACAACAGCATTCACCTCAATTCTACATGTGGAATGTTTATTACACTTCCTTCTTCCTGTAAAAGCAGCTGATTCTCACCCACCATTCAGCAGTGCCCATTAAAATTATCATCAGAGCATACACAAGGCTCTACAATATTTTAAATTATTGGTTTAATCCTACAGAAATAGCTTCACAAACAGTATTAAAGCTACAAGGGTAGCAGTGCCAGCTCCTCTACACCTGATGCAATTAATGCTGCCTTGACACCCCCAACCTTTGGGTACAAGAGCCCCTTTCTGCAATCCCACATGGCTGGTCCATATGTCACCCCAGGATGTGGAAGGAACATAATGATGGTCACTGACTGCTCTGAAGCTGATCCCAGCAGGTTCAGTGAAGACCCTCCAGGTGTTTTTAGCAACTTTACCTCTGCTGTCAGCATCACCTGTGTAACTCGTGGCACAAACATTCCCTGCTCATCATCCACTCCCCAAGACCTGATTTCTCCTCAACCAGCTCACTGAGCACTCCAGTAGGGACTGATGTTCATCCTAGACAGCTCACAGCATTTTCACCTACCCCTTTCATCTGACTGCAACTGTGCCTCCAAGTCCTCTGGAGAGACGTAGAATTCCTGCTCCTCGCCTTCGGGAGGTTTCGGTTTACACTTCCCACAGCAACAATTACAGCAGCAGCACAGACAGCAGCAGCAATAGCAGCCTGTGATGAGCCCACAGAACACAAACAAGGCCTGCAGAGGACAGAAAACACAGAAATAGTCATAACCTGTGTCTACTGTGCCATGACCACAGAGTTTGTGAGACTTGGATCCAGAATCAGAGAGCAAAACCAGAGCAGTGGTTTTGCAGAGACAGAACTTAGTAGCAACAGCTTTGTACTTTATCACTGAGAAATACTTCAAATTATGTGCAAAAGTGGCTATGGTTCTCCACATTTTACACTGAGGTGAATACTGCCAGCCTGGTTTGCTTGAGTAATTTCTACAATTTGAGTGGACTATTTTGCTGCATCTGGAAGAAGGTACAAGTCTAATAAGCACATCTGTACTAATATCCAGGGCTACAACAGTTCAGGACAGGCTGTAACTTGCATAAATAACCCTGGAAAAGACTGAGCTGTACCAGCTGATGCAAAGGCCACGATGTACCTATGGCAGGGACTTGGAGCAGCCCAAGGCTGTGGGCATGGCTGAGGATTTATGCTCCCAATATGTGAGCACGGCAGCTGCAAGCAAGCCAGGTCTGCCAGGTGCTTATCACAGTGACAACGGGCTAAGCTGAAGTCTTCCTATAGGTCACTGTGCAATTGTTTGAAAAAAATAATTTTACAGACAGCAAACCAGCACAGTAATGTAATTATTGTCTTCCTCAGGGGAATGAAGAGATGGAGGCAACACTGGCAAAGGGTAGAAAAATGGACCCATGCAATGAAATATAAGATTTTCTGTGAGCTCAAGTTCACAGTCAGGACTCATTCTGCAAAATTATTGACCAGATATTACCAGAGAATACCCCCCAAAATCTCATCTCTTTTAAATCTACTACAAGAGTCCAAGTTTCAATTAGTAACCCAGGTCCTTGCTTATTAGACCTGTATCAATGGAAGTTCCTAGAAAACTACTTCTGAATTCAAGATCACAATACAGTAAGAGAAGTTTAATTAATCCGGTGTCAGAAATTCAGCAATTTCCAAAAGTAAAACCAAGAACAGTTATCAAACTGAGCTCTCTAAGAGTTTCCAATACCAATCCAGAATAACTCCTGTGCCCTTTTATTTACCTTTGCCCACCAGCTGGACAGCACGAAGTATGTGTTCACATTTTCTTCACCAAACTGCTCTGCTACATAGAGCCCCAGAGACCCATACTTATCGTAAATGTTCCGCTTTGTGGCATCCGTCAATATTGCGTGGGCATTATTGATCTCTTTAAATTTTTCTGCTGCCTCTGGATTATCAGGGTTTTTATCAGGATGATATTTCAATGCCAGTTTCCTGCAGAAAGAAAAAAAAGGAGAATAAAACCTGGGGTTTGGGTTCCTGTTTTTTTGACTTATTTTACTTCTAATTCTGTAGCCTGCCACTCAGGGGAGACTTTCAAGTTCCACTGTTTTCCTTCATCTGTGATTCAACTTCCCTGATGATTCTTCTGATGATAATAAAAGGCTATAGCAGTGTCTAACTTAGTTCACAGGATTGACTTCGGACTGTTGGATTTGACCCTCAGAAATCCAATGGAAAAAAATAAAAGACATTGAATAAAAATAGGTTTGGGTTTCTTTATCTTCAGCTCCAGCAATTTCCACCAGTAAGTTTTGCTCCTGCTACAGCAAAGACACACCACAAGTCTAAGGTATAGCACCAAAGAGTAAATAAAAGCAAGTTGCCACAGTTGCTTGAAGAGTGTCTGAACTGCTGCTTCTGCAATGTCTGAACACAAAAATAGAACAGACGATCACTTGTGGTTAATTCACCAATTCCTGTGCAGGAACAAAGTACTTTTCAGTTCAAGCTTTGCTAGAATAGAAAACACTTCTGAGTTTCGAGATATCAGGAAATCACAACGTACCTCCCCTAATCAGGCCAGATCTCTTACAACTAACAAAAAAGATCAGATAAAGCATTGATAAATGTGCTAGTTCTCACATGGCCCAGGCTATTTACAGACCTCAGTAGAAATAACTGGCTAAACATCTCCTTATGAAGAGAAAATACGTGCTCCCAAGTAGAAAAATGACACGGAGCCACATGCTGGCAGTTCTCCTCCACCACAAAAGGTACTTGTCCTCCTACAGAAAATGACCACAAAGTCACGTATATGAGAAAGACAGTAGGAGTCTGCAGACAATTACATGTCAGCTTTGCAGTGGGGAAATGTTTAGACAAACATAAAACAAAGATGTGTGCAAGCACTTGGATGTGCCTGCAAGTATCTCACTGCATTTAAAAACCAGCCTGAGTGTCCCCTTGGGACAGTTCACTGTGCACGATGCTGCTCCAGTAAATCATGTCCACAGCTGCCACTTGTGCCCCAGCCTCCATGAAGGCTGAAATAATCACAAGGAAGTTTTATAAACCTGGAAAGGGCTTAGCCAGGCTGCAATAATTAAATATTTTTATTTCCCATTTCCTACACATACACAAATTTCACAGCCCCCAGGCCAGCAAAGGATGTTCAGACTGAATATGATAAAGGAGCAGCAGAAGAAACAAGATGAGCTGAAGGTTCAGGTAAGTGTGAAGCAGCTACATTTTCTCGTGGGGCTGTTACTCCAAAGGAAAAACTCACAGTATTTCCCCCAGGAAAGTAAAATTATTTTCCAATTGCTTGAAGATAAACTACTCAAACTTCCACTTAAAGCTTTTCGGAAGATAAAGTTAATTTTTGAGAATCTGTGGACCTGGTTTATTCGTAGACTTCACCATGTAGTTGCCATCAGTATGTAACTTTGGCAGGGAAAAAGCTTTGGTAAAAGTTAAAGACTAAAGGAAAACAATTTTGACAATGAGAAAGATGATGCTGACCCCTAGTGTAATCCAAACACATTGCCACTGGTCACAGCAGCAATTGCCTTTAAGCAGATTTATGGGGAATGTGGAAAGGAAGATGTTACAAGACTCTTTTTTGGTAGTTCTTATTTGATCAGTATGAAGCCATTTCATGTGTCCAACTCTTAAGGAAAGAGATAGAGCAAAAAAAATAATATTTTAAACTAATAATTCCACAAAGAACAAGAATTTTTGAACAGAATTCCAGGAAAAGGTAGTCATGCTCTGTTTTCATTCTTCTTTGTATCTTTAATCTCCATCTCCCTGTGCCAGGAGTGGAAATGATGCACAGCAGGGCAGTTCTGCACATCTGTGGTACCCTTAAGACAGACACAAGGCTACATAACAGGAAGAGTTTAACTCTGATCAGTCTTAAAATTCTGATCAATTTTAGGCAAGGACCTTTCAGAATGACACTGTGCATTTGAGAATTTGACTTACTAGATATAAGATGGAAAAATTTAAAGCCTAGCCATGTTTTCACACCCCGTTTTGCAAGAAGAAACCACGTTTTCACCTGTTTTTCCCACATATTTTTCTTGCAAAAGGTCTAAATAAATCAACTGAGGCTCCTACACAAATAGACCATTTGCTGAACACTGAATTAAAGCCATCTGTGCTACTGGGACAGGTGTAAAACTTGAAGCTTTACCTGTAAGACTTTTTGATATCATCTGAAGTGGCATTTTTGTCCAGCCCCAGCACGTGGTACAAGGACTCCCCAGAGGTAGAGAGCGAGCGTTGCCTCTGGTCTGCCATCTTGAGCTAACCTGAGGAGAGAACTGGCCCCTGCAAAAAAATAAACAGCAAGAAATGCTTAAGGAAAGGAAAAAACACACCTCTTGAAGCAAATCATCCTCAAAAAAGAGTCTACACATCAAGATTCAGCTTTTATAAAATGTGCTTTGAAAAGGTTCTTTACACACACGGAAGGTAAAAAGTTATAAAATTCAGTGAATTTTCAGTGAAAACAACCATTACATTGTTGGCACAACACCAGCCACCCTAAATCCCCACTGTATACACTCAACTCTTCTTTCCAAAAACCCCAATTCGAGAGCTGAGGTGCAGCTATTGCATAGCACATCTCTCAAGTCCTTTCATCTCCTTTCTTAGTCTTAATATTAAGATAATTTATTTATGATAATACCTATAAAAACAACACAACAACAACTGATGATAAGTTGATGCCAGTACACTGGCACGGGAGTAACTGACTTTATTTGTATTTTCTATTTCAGAAATTGCATTTAAAAAAAACCCAAAAACCAACCTTCCCCATAACTCCCAAAACCCAGTCCCCCATCTTATCACCAACACCAAATCAAACAGAATCCTTAGACAAATCCAGCGTGGCCAAGCCTGTGCATTCCACAAGGAAAGAGGGAATGTCTGCCCAGAGAGGAGATCCTCTCTCTCATAATTTAAAGTTATGGATCAAACATTTAACATGCATTCTAGTTAAACTCATGCTACTTGAAGATGGATTAACCTCCTGCTCCACATCCAAATGTGACAGACCCCAGAGGTGTCCCCTGTGCCATGCCAGGCCCAGATCTGGTTCTGCCCTCTCCCATCCTGAGCAGATCAGCTTTGCTGCTCTTTAGCTGCAGAACTGCAGCCAGGATGAGCATCCAAGAAAAGACTATTGGCTATTTTTGGATTATGTCATTACAATTAGCCCACACCAGATTATGCAGCCTTTGAAAAAGATATTTAAAGCACCAGACTTTTCTAATTTAACCCTATGTCTTATATAACAAATTAATAACCTCAGCTTTCACAAGGCTGGCTGAAAGCAACACCCTCAGCCCTCACCCCCTGCACTGCCTGGGTGGAGCTGTGACCACACCTCTGCTTCGCCCAACACATAGGAATTGTCACACACACAACGGGGACCAAGTGACAAGGACGTGGACAGACACATCACCACTGTCTTGTTCAGCTCAGACCCTGCTGTTAATTCTCTGCCTCACTTGGCCTCTCTGATTTTACATCCATTTAACACTGGGCACCAGGTCCAGTTGTTTTAACTGGAATACACCAGCTCAACCAAACTTTCACCTAACCTCCTACAAGAAGCCTTTGGCAATTCTACCCGTTTAATTTAAAGCTTCCTATAGGAGGCTATAAATTATTACTATTAATAATAAATAGTCTAAACTCGAATTCTCTGCCGAAAAATTCAAACTACACCCCATATCTGGAAGGTGAATGTGTGGGTAGGGAGAGAAAACATCTTCTTTTCAAAGATACTATTCAGCATCAAAAGCTTTCTGTATGGGAGGAAAATTACTGAGTACTGCAAGACACAACACAAACAACTCACTTATTTGGGCAGAATGTGATTCAGGTAAAGGAAAACCGTATTTCAGGAAAGAAACCCCCCACCCAGGCACACAGCAGACACAAGCCTCTGGGCAGCCTTTCCCAAAGGCAGCCTCCCAGCCCCCTGTGCCCCGGAGCTGAGGTCAAAGACTGATGATCCTGACGTGTCTCTGATAATCTACCTAATCACAGCAGCCCGCTGCTTCCCAGGCTCCCTGCTCAGCTCCTCCTGCTCTGTGCCCATCATCACTTCCTCCCACCCTCCCAGGAACCTCCCTGCAGCTCCAGCACACCAGTCCCTGCCAGCAGCTCCCTGCCAAGGAGTGTCTGTCACTACTGCTCTTGGACAGGCACCTGAGAAGTCGGGAAGGGGGAAAAAAAGCATCCTGGTTGGAATTTTACATGTTGATTTAGCCGTTCTGAAGAAGATAGTGCTTCAAACAGGAGCTTCCAGGGCATTATGGACATTTTTGCTAAAAGCTGCAGCTCTATTTAGGCATAACAGGCCTCCTGTAACATCAATCCAACATGGCCTTGGTGACAGATGCTGCACATCACAACCATACACCATGTTCTGCTTAACAAAATCTGTACTGTTCAATTAGGGCCAATTTGTTTAACAAAAATGAATTCAGATTGACCCAGGCAGTATCTATCAGTCTGCAGCCACAGGGATACAATTCCACACTGCTGCATCCTTAATTGCTTCCATCTGAACAGTGCTGGGGATCCACAGCTTGGGGTAATGGGATGTTAGCATTTATTTCTCCACGCTGGTATAAAATGGACACATCGGCCTTGGCAGAAGAGTGGAGGACAAGGCAGTGATGGGAATTCATCTGGGAAGCTTTTTACTTAAGGGAACAGAGAAGTATTATTACTAGGAATGCAACCTTTGGCTTTTTAAATATGAAACAGACAGTAAAGGTGCAAGTTATTTCAGTTCAGAGTTCTCCTAAACTCGGATATCATTTCTCCTGCTGTTTTCACACGTGGCTCTAATTCACAATCCTGAAAGCTGCCCTGTATTTTTAAAAACTGTTGTGTTCAGCAGCAACAAGCCATCTGCTCCCTTTTCTAACCAAGCAGGATGCCCTGAAGAGGTTTCTCTGGGAAGGCTCTGGAGAAAGGTAATCTCCTGGATTAACCAGCAGAGTGTTTAACCATCTGAGTGCCACAACACCCTCAGTCAGCTCTACCACAACAAGCAACTGCTTTCAGCACCACCTCGCTGAAAAGACTCAGATTAAACCTGGCAGGTAATTTATGGAAGTCAGCCTTAATGTTCTAAATACATCCATGGAAAACTCAACCTTAGAAACACTAACTTGCTTTTCAGCTTCCCAAAAGAATCCCATCAATTTTCATTAAATTGGTGATACCTTAATTTCTGCCAGGTCTGCTGACCCTTTTGAATGTTGTATTTAACTCATTAAAACGGCAAAGTGTTATTACAGCCAAAGGAAAAAAAAATCAATAGTTCTCTGCCAGTTTAGGGAATTAAATACCCACAGAACATCCCAAAGAATGTCTGCACTGAAAAGGGTGACAGCAGATCTGGTGGCTAGAAGCAGGGAAGGAGGAATTAAACTCCATTTGATCTGCTGCAAGATGCTGCAAAGAATTTCAGTGGAAGTTGGGAGTGAGGGGGATAAATTTTTCCAAGAAAACATGCTGAGCTATGTGGCAGAACGGAGGGTGGAGGTTCTGACACTGCTCACACAGACAGCAGGTGATTGGGACAACACTGAACCACCACTGTTGGATCTAGGAAGGGGCTACCTTGAAATAAAGGGATGGAAGGCTAATCCCATGGGCAATACCCACAACGTGTCAGTGTCATTAGTCTGTGGAAGCAGACTAACAGCAGGACTTCTCATCTCCCTCCAGGGCTGGAGCATTGAGTATTTATTCAAAAACAAACCTCTGGAAACTGTAACGCTCAACTATCACTTTTCCCATCCCCCCCTGTGTAAGTCACACAAGCACTGCTGTCCCTTGAATTTTCTTGCTGGAGGAAAGAGTGCTCTGGGAAGGGCAGCTCCACTGATCAAAATCAAAAGGGGACCAGGAACACCAAACAATATTATCTTTAAAGATATTATTACAGAAGAATGCTGGGGCACAATCTCCAGAATTCTAAATTTCTCAATGCCTGTATACTTACCAGTTTAAGTTCCTAAAAATCAAATAAAATAATAAAATCATTCCCTGAATGCCCATGCCAAGACACAGACCTGTACACAGGTGCTGTGTACACAGCATCACAGTGAACTGTCTACACACAGTGTGGGCAATCTGGTTGGAAACAGCTGTTCCAGAAAGTGAAATCCCACTGTAAAGGAGAAAATCCACCTCCTCCTGACACAGTGAATGATACCCACTAGACACAGGATAATGGGAGGTTATTAACTTTAATGGATATTGTTTGCAAAGGAGTTTGGTTAAAACCAGTGCACAACATCCTCCCAGTCTTCCAAAATATCACCAGTAAACAGAGAATGGAGGAATCCCCAAAAGGGAAAATAATAACCAGAAGGAATGACCCACACAGACTCAGAGAAGTGCTGGGAGTGCTGACAGGAGGAGGTTGCTGCTGTCCCACCTCAGCCCAACCCTGCACAAGTCTGTAACACAAATCATCAGGAATGCTGTCAAGCCTTCTACAATTACAGCCTTAAGAGCATATTAAAAGATGATTAGAGAATCCAGCTTGGAAATTATGTTTTTCCAGCGCTTACAAAAATAATGTCTAATTAATACTTTATTATACGACGTTAGGAAGCACTCGAGTATTTTAGGAAAGATTTGGATTCCACAAAGCATTGCTGCTAAGTGGTAAAATCTAATGTTGGTTAAAGCTATGATTCCAGCTTTGCAAAGATTCTCACTGCAGAAAATTAACCACAGGTGTAAATCTAAAACTGAATTATTCTATCCCAACCAGTATTTATCAGTAAGAGTCTAAATAAAAACAGCAAGCCTGAAAGCACTTCAGTAAATATTGATTTGTCACAGAAAGGAATAAGCACCACTGGCCTCCACATCCTGTCCATCTGTCTCAGAGTCACTTAGAGTTGTCCTCACAATCTGGTATTTTTCAAGCGAGAAAAAAAACAAAACATTTTTAAAGGGGAGACAGGAGAAGCATACACAACATTGTGTTACCACAGAAAATTAGCAGTGTTTTAGCCTCGTCTCCCTGAGGTAGTATGAGATTTTTATAGAAAACTTTGTTTCCTCAGCAGTATTTGAGAAGCTACAAGAAATAAAAAACCCAGAACTCACCTTAGAATATTCGAAGTAGGCACCAGGTAAGTGATAACAACCTTCACACACTTCTAAAACTGATTCTCCTAAAGACAAAACAAAAGCAAGTTAGTTGTTCACCAATTCTGAAGTTGAGGATTCATTGATAAATTATCATCCCACTACTGGGCACTAAAAACACAGACGTATTTTATAAATACTTGTACCACAAGTATATATTAAGTCTCCACAATGTAAATACTTGTCTTTAGAATTGATCAACTGTCAAAATAAATGACATTTAAAAACACAGAGTCAAGACCTCTATGGCTTGAACCAGAGCTGCAGTCTCTTTCCCCCAACTTTCATCATGGGAAAGACACACACCTACCCAGTTGCATGGAAATTCTAATAATCATTATCTGTTTAAGACTTTGGACTTTTTCAACGTCGGCCTTTGTGAATACAAGTACTGAGAACATGAGAAGCGTGTTTTTCAAGTCTTGGTAATCTCTTGTGCTGTTAGAGAGAGACTGTAAAGCAGCTTAGCCAACAC